GTTCATTGCGGCATTATTCATGGTGGCCAAGACATGGAGACAACGGAAGTGTCCTTCGATAGATAATTGATGTGGTATATATACACAATGGAATATTACTGTCATAAGAAAAGATGACATACTGCCGTTTGCAACAACATGGATGGATCTCGAGAATATCATGCTAAGTGAAATAAGTTAGATGAAAATAATTGAGAACCATATGATTCACTCATATATGGGATATAAACTGAAAGCAACAAACGAACAAGACAAACAAAAACTCATAGACACAGACAACAATTTAGTGGTTTCCAGAGGGAAAGTGGAGAGGGAAGGTGGTAGAAGAGGGTAAAAGGGATCAAATATATGGTGATGGAAGGAGAATTGACTCTGGGTGGTGAGCACACAATGCAATATACAGATGATGTATTATAGAATTGTACACTTGAAACCTATGTAATTTAATTAACCACTGTCACCCCAATAAATTTAGTTAAAAAAATAAATGAAAGACTGGGATTCCTATCTTCCTTGGCTAAGTCTGATTTTTCATCCAAATATTTGGTCCCTGACTTGCTGTCCTGTCTGCATTGATTATTCATTAGGGATCTGGTTTCACTTCAGTGTGCTCATTTTCTTCCCTTCTGATGGTTTTCCTCTGCTAATCTAGGTGTTTACAGTTCTGATTTCCTTTTTGTGGTGGAAAATAACTTGGAAGATTGTCAGGAAGACAATACATTGTTATCAGTGATGATTTTATGGTTCATTAGCAGAGGTTTATAATAATATAATAGGTTTTTGTTTCATATAGCAGTAGGAATTATTTAAAAGATAAAAATCCTTTCCCCATGCTTCTTATAGTTATGCATATTTATTGTAAAAGATAAGAATATTACAGAAATACAAAACTTAAAAGTAAAAGATGGGGCCGGCACAGTGGTGCAATGGTTAATAACTGGCTTGGGATGCCAGGGGACCCCGGTTCGGATCCCACATATGAGGGCCAGTGACACTGCCCTCCACAGCTAAGATGCTGAACAACAGCTCAACCTGGAGCTGGGCTGCCAT